AAATTAAATAAAATTAAATTAAATTAAATTAAATTAAATTAAAATAAATTAATAACAATTTCCACCATGTTTCATTAAACCTTGACCAGTACACCATCTGATGTGTTTAGTCACTCTTTACACCAACACATGTGCATTGACATATTATGCAGGAAAAAAATAGATGTCTCAAAGATCTAAAATGTGCAAAATGTCAACTTGTAACTTCCTTATATCTCCCTAACAGGTAAAAACAGCCTCTCGATTGCAGCATGCGCTTTTGATTATGTCCAGGTTATGTAAAAACAACAATCATTTAGGTCAGATTGTTTCAAGTGGTACATCAGAAAGCTTCACCCTCATGTCTCATTAAAAGAACTTTGAGATCAGGAATAAATTAGTTCAGCAAATAAACAGTATTGAGATTGTTGCATTTGAATTAAAAATGTGATCTGAAGCAATGTTCGAAGGGATGAGACACAAACTTATGATCAAATCGTGCATTATGTCACGTAAAAAGGCTTTCAACTGCTTATGGGAATAAACTCCTCCAATGACCACCATGACAACACTAGAAATTACTCATGACATGCTCATGATTTGTATTTTGGGAAGTATGACTGAGTTCGGTCCCAGTTTCAGGCGGTATGTGAAGCTGGTACCTCTGAATGCCAGCAGAGGTCTTTTGCCCATTCAGATCCTTATGCTAATGAGCAGCTGGTACCTCACTCTCGCCTGTGGCTTTGCATGCTAAAACGCTTACAGGATTCACCGCTTCCAGTGAAACTCACCCAAAACCACTAAGAGATATGATCAGATTGGAAAAGGGAGGTTTTCCTGAAAGTCTCATCATACTGTACTGTTTGAGCTGTGCCAAATGTGTAGGGATATTTAATGCCTAATCTTAGGTTTTGTCATAAGCTCTGAGCTGTTTGAAAGATGTTTTATCAAAAGAAAATATCATGTATATGTGGTAAAATAAAAAAACCTACTCCCATGACTCTGCATGTTGCTATGCAGTTGCTAGGGTGTTCCAGGTGTTTTTGTTAGGGGGTTGCTTACAGGCCCAAGAAAAAAAAGAGCCCCCAAGTCTCAGATCTCTCCTTCAGTATAAACCCTAACAGGAATCATTCTCTGAACTTCAGCTAACACACTAGGTTCTCTCTAATTTACTGTATGAACAAACGTTCTCCTAGTAACGTTAATAGAATGTTCATTCAGTGTTATCTGGTCTTTAAAGGAACAGTTCACCCAAAATTGAGAATGTACTCAAAATTGACCCACCCTAAGGCGGCAGCCCATCCAAGATGTAGATGAGTTTCTTTATTCTTCGGAACAGATTTGGGAAATCTAGCATTACATCACTTGCTCACCAATGGGTCCTCTGCAGTGAATGGGTGCCGTCAGAATGAGAGTCCAAACAGCTGGTTGTGATTTTAGCGACACTAATGAAGCCTCGCCCTCTAGGACAAGTGGGTGTCTCTACTTATGCATATTGCCATTTATGGATTTCCGCACTCATTCAGTTGATTACACAAACGACTAAAAAACTTTAGTGTTTAAAGAATGCAAGTTTAAAAGGAAAGGAATATATTATTACATAATTATTAAATAATATGTATTTATTTATTTTAATTATTTATAAATGTATGTATGTATGTAATCTAGCATTACATCACTTGCTCACCAATGGGTCCTCTGCAGTGAATGGGTGCCGTCAGAATGAGAGTCCAAACAGCTGATAAAAACATCACATCAAACATCTTCATTTTTGGTTGAACTATTCTTTTAATAATGTTCTCAAAACGTTAGCACAAAAACATTGTTTATATATCATTCATGGATCATTTTAGAGAACATTCAAAAGTAACATTCCCACAACGCTTGCAAAATGCTGAAATGGAGTGTTCGTGTAAGCAAGAATAAATGTTTTTAAACATTTTAAATACTTGACATTTTGAACATTCAGAGAACATTCGGAAATAACATTTTCAAAATTTAATAGAAACGTTAACAAAAAGTCCTTAGGACATAATTTTGTTAGCTATGATTATATGATACTTTTTTCAACCATTTTATTGACTGCAATTAAAATTATAAATCTGATGGGTTAGAAAAACACATTCTGCACAGTTTGAGATATGATTCATGCTGATAGCACGAACAGTGCTGGACTGGACAAGCTTGATATTTAGGGTTATGGGTTTGTTCAAAGTATGCACCATTAATATTAATACATTTTATAATCATTAAATTATGGTAAATGGGACTATAGTTAACTATTCCAAATATTCAGAGATAACACAAATGAGTCATGATGCTCTTGTGGCCCAGTGGCTCAATTTGAACAGAAGTTTATGGATAGTTGAAATTCTTGAATATGAATTTAGGAGTATATGGCTATTTGCATCCTTCACATGTGAATGAAGTCATAATCTATTCTGGTTCTACAATAGAGCTGATCCGCTGCAGTGACTCCTCCCCATCATTATGCCTCTGGGGGTTTTCTGACCTCTCTGATTACCCAGATCATCTCAAGTGCTTCTGCAGAAACCTGTGAGAGGATGTGAGGTCAGAAACAATGGTCAGAGTTGGAGATTTGGCTGAACTCACTTACACTCTGTAAAACACCACACACTGCTTAAGAAAACAATCACGCCTTGTGCACTATAATAAAAATGTTAGGTTTAGGAAAACATTCATAAAAATGTAATAAACAAAATAACTGCTTTTGTTTGACCTTTCCGGAGATTACAGGAAGTGACATACTAACCTTTCTGCAAGTGTTTCCTTTTGTATTTTGCTACATAAAACAGAACTTATTTTTATTAGTACTATTAATAACCTTATTACTAAAATTAAATTTTTTTTTTTTCAAATAATATATAAATAAAATATGCTAAAAACTAAAATCAATTGATTTGTGATTTCAAGTGAGTTTAGGCATCAAAACAATGTATAATATGGAAAAACATTATTTGCTAAAGATTATATTTAAACGTTTTATTAAATTAATAGTTAAGTAGAGCTAACCTAACCTTTCATTGAAGTAAAACTATTGAAAATGGTGGGAAAATCCCATTATGAAAATCCCAGGAATATAAATATTCCTTCATATTTATATCATGAAACAGAAAGCCATGGCTGGACAATTTCATGTTTGTAGTCACTGTAGTGTGCTAATAACTGTAAATATGAATGGGAATATACATAAGAGATATTTTACTCATGATAATTTCTAGGAGTGTCAAAAATTGTGGCCAACGTGTATTTGAGAAAAATCTTTTATTTCATCATGAGACCATCATTTCTCCATTCTCTGTAAGTGGCTGAGCAGAAACAATGCAGGCACCCCTTCGGGAGTCCCTTCAGAAAAATAACATCTGGACTGACCACGTTCTCTTACATGTGGCTAGACTTGTGGCAGACTGGATTTGTACACTCAGAGGTTTATGAGCTAGAGCAATTACATGCTGCCATTAAGGATGGTGGTAAACATTGTTAAAAAAAAGGGTGTTCATCGCTCTTTAAAAAATGAAGACAAGAGTTTGCATTGCTTTTTCTGAGTTGAAATAATCTATATAATTGTTTAAAATAATAAAACTACTCAATTAT